TAGGATATTTTTTATAATAATATAATTTGAATTTTTTATTTAATTTCACTTTATATAAAAAAAAATAATTACTACTTATATAATATAAAAAAAAACCCACAACTACGTGCAATGACGGCTCTAAATTCTGGAGGAAGTATAATACTCCAATTCAATGAAGACCGCATCAGGCACTTATACATTGGTCTGTTGGTGCAGTTTATACTTCTTCTTTTTTTTAACAAATTTGCAATGGACCGATTCAAATTGTTGTCGAGAAGAAGGAAAATGCACTTTACATATGCCCTGAGGTCACTGGCCTTCGGTCCAAATGCGGTGCAATTTATATTTTAATTAATAGTAAAATTGAAACTATAATAGCGTTATATAAATATCCCTTATTCTTATTCTTATTTCTAAATCGTAATCATTCAAGCACTTAGAAAGCTTAATAATCTCAGATTACCCGTTAAATGTATTTTTTATTTTTTTTTTAATAATTGTTCGAATCTAACCTTTTATAAATTTATTAAAAAAGTAAAAAAAATCGTAATCATTCCAAATTTTCTTTAAAAAAAAAAGGGGTTTTCAATGAAGGCCATTTATCTACCCCACAAGTATTACGTTAATTTTGAGAGAGCGCCACGTGTTCACTTGTAAAGTAGAAATGATAATACATTCTAAGGTGCTGCTGCCACACGCCAAATCACGAGTAAAATGATCGATCAGTCACACTCCTCTTTTACTTTATTATTATTGTTATTTTATTTTATTTTATTTTATTTTTTTGCAGGAGAACCCTTGTTTATGTCGGAGTTCTTGCACGAAAGGGCCCGAGATTATTTACGTGGATTGCGGAATTCATCAAATCAAATTTCTAAAGAGCTGACTACCTTGGGCAGTCTGCAGATTCCTAAAGGGCTGACTACCTTGGGCAGTCTGCTGGATCAAAAGAGATATAGAGATAAATATGGTAAGAATTATCGCCACGGAATCGTGGGGAAGTTATGGCTTGCCGAAATGGAGGAAGTGCTTTATGATACTAATCATATAATTGATGAGATATTGGATGCCAAGATATTCATGCTAACTGCAGAACTCCAATCAAGTGCCAACGGCCCATGGAAACTCATCCTTAATTTGTTTAACAAGATTTCAAGGTCTATGCATTATTATCAAGAAAAAAGGATGGCTTCCAAGGTGAAGTATATAACTGTTAGATTAGAAGAAATTCTTGATGAAGGAAAGCCTTTATTAAAAGAAATTTTTGATGAAAGACCGAGGCAGGGCTTAGAAAGGTTTTTCTTCAGGAGAGCAGCTAGGCTTGCTGGTAACATTCTACCTCTGTTTGAATTTGCTATTTTTCTACGTTTCTTTCTTAAAGCATTTATATCGGGAGAGAGCCATCATGTTACAGCATCCCAGTTCATATTACTTTCCCTTGTCGCTTTTTATAAATTTAGTTTAATTTTTTAACTTTTAAAATATAAATTTT